TCCGCGGGCATATTTTTCATTTAAAGTGCACTGAAGGAACTCCTTAGTGCTGTTTTCCTGGCCAGGATTTATCCACCTGGTCCAACTGTGACAACCTTTTAGTCTCTTTACTGAGTGCGAGGCAACCGCTGGTCCCATATGACATCTGTCATCTGCTCAGAATTTACATGAGAAAGTCAAACCGCTAAATTCAGTGCTGGAGGTAAAATTGCAACGGGTGTTAAATAAAAAACATCTCACCACCTCTCTGGTGACATGTTGAGCCGAAAGGGAAGCCAACCACTCCCAGCAAGCATCCCAGCTGTTTAGATGTCTGACTGTACACTTGATTAAACGCTGTTTAATAATGATGTAAACTCGGAAGATTTTGAGAAACATTTCACAAAACTAACCCCAAATACCTCCAACTGCAAAATGTAGTGCTAATATCATGACACTTAAAGGACTACTTTACTCCCCAAAATGACTGTTTGTGAATCAGGTATTTACCTTGTGTTGAATTTGTGAGGAAAACTGTTTTTTTCACATGCCTGAACAAAGAATCCCAAAATTTTTTTTAATGAATTGAACTTACAGGCACCCGGGCACAATATTTTACCTCGCTGAACAAGGAAGTTGCTGGTCTACCACTGCCTCAATCAGTTATTTTGTTGCGTTGTTCTGTGCCTCCTGAATCTGATCAAACCCTTTAAAACACCTATGTCACACAGTAACACAAACAAATGAACTGATCGAGGCAGCAGTAGACTAAAGCTCCTGTGTTCTGTGAGGTGAAATTACTGTTTTTTGTCAGTGGAGTCTGGCTTTGAAGAGAGCGTAGGTAAGTTTCACTTTTCGTTCAGCTGCCTGTTGGAAAGAGCTTTCCCAGCAAGCATTTTTTGGTTTAAAATACGTCTGATAGCCGTCTACATGAAGACCTGACATCTAGGCTAAATCACGGCTGAATTTGGGCTGTCAGTGAAAATTTGGTAGACGTCTAACCATAGCCAAAGTGTAGACATCATCAATTATACGGCTATGTAGAGACCATGTCCAAAAAATGGAGATAAACATATTTTAATTACTGTTGACTCTCCATACGTGATTGAATATCATGCCGCACGCCATCTGCAATGGCAAAAATTACATTTAATCAATTTCAAAATTAAATCGGCTAGATTTGGGTTACATGTAGCTAGACTAAATCGGAGCTAAATATAGCCAATACTTTTAAATCACGACTATTTCTTGCTGGGTTCTCTTTAGGAAGTACTGAGCATACAACTGGATAAATGAGACTTGGATCATACTGCACAAGAGTTTGTATACCAGGGGTGTCAAACTCATTTCAGTTCAGGGGCGACATACAGCCCAATTTGATCTCAAGTGGGCCGGACCAGTAAAACCATTGCATAATAACCTATACATAATAACCCCATCAAATTGTTTCTCTTTTTTATTGTAGAGTAGAGGAAGAATAGAGGCATGTGAGAATTAAATGTAACACAATGTGAGTAATTCATATACAAATGATCACTTGGGAGTGTGGGGGTAAACTGTACGAACACCTCTATCTCTGAAACATACAAGTCTCCATGAAGGCAGGTATTAATAAATAAAGTAATGCATACATTTATGTAGGTTTGACAGATATGTTTAATGTATCGTTTTGCCCCCTGGCACTTTTATTCTTGGAGGCTTTGTGATGCTGCTGTAACTTACCATTTACATGCTTCATTTCTTTAGGTTTGACAGTTGTTTCCTAGCAACTGACTCACACGTTACTAAAGTTTTACCTAAGACATTTCTTAATGGTGCAAAATTTTGTAAATAACTGGTATAAAACTAGTAACTAAGAACAGAGGAGGGAGATAACAGATGCAAACTTGCAGTAGCTGCATCCCAGTCCCACTGTCACCAGTTCACTCCACTGCCAGCTCCACTGAACACTGTGGTCTCAGTCCAGTGCTCCGTGTCAGAGATGCATCGTTTTTTGTTTGTCTTTCTTTAAAAAGGAACCACTCATATACAAAGCTACTTATACGGCCTTGGGCGTGTTACTCAACACGGACGCGTTTTTACTCGAGCCAGTAAATGATATCACTCTTATGTACAGCCTGCAGCTAATCATCAGACGATGAATGGGAGATTTAATGGAGACATTTTATTTGTCTGTGCTTTTACATCTGAATGAGCTTTACTTCACTTCACTATGAGATCTATCAACTCTTAAACAAGCTGTGCACCTGGAATTGTCTCACACTGTCACATTATATAACTTCCCTTTTTTTTTTATAACTCATGCTGTGTGAAGCTGCACATTTTCAAATTAGAGAGTGGAGATATTCACTTTGGGAGATGTTAGTGAGACACACAGAGAAGTATAGTGTATTTAAAGGCTGAAATTAAGTGCGATTTAGCATCAGTGAGGCAGTGGGGGATGGTGAAAATGTTGAAGAGTATAGAGGATTCTTGAGAGAGAAAGACAGCTGTGGGATTTAGTCTCTCAGCCTCCCTCTTTAAACCTGCCTGATACACTATCTGAGCACGTACCCAGTTGGCACAGTGCCTACTGGCAAAGAGTAACTAAAATGAGAGACGTCTCCTGTGTGTTCGTTTTGACGTAACTTTGTAACTGTCCCTCGCAGAGAGATTATGTGCTTACCAGATTTTCCTAACATGGTCACAGCAACCAAAATTTGATCCACAAGCAGGGAAAGAATTGGAAAACATGATTTTTATGAGTTTATGGTCAGGTTTGAGTTTGCTGGGAGCACTGCAGATGTCTCCGGGCTAGCAATGCTGACTCCACACGTTTATGGATATGTGGGTGAGAAAAACACTTGGATATCGCATATGTCAGGAGCAGCCGCAGCCAGCCTTATCACCCTGCCAGCAATTTACACTCTTTAAACATGTGCAGCGACTTGATTCAAGTAGGGAAGGTAATGATTTGGGACACAGCGGTCAGCTGGGCTACTAGCATTAAATCTCTTCTTGCCGCGCTGGAAAAAAAGAGCTCATTATATTGTTATTTTATTTAAGCTACAATCACCTCCTTGTTATCCAGGTAGAAAGTCGCTGTATGATTGACTTTTTGCAATAGTAAAAGACAAATTGAACCCTATTGGCTGCCTGTTTCTTCTCCCAGAGTTGTTTATTTTCCTTTGGACTGTAGCCTCAGCGTGAGTTTATTCATTAGCTTTGCAGGCAGTGGAGCTACTCCTTCTGATTGTGCAATGCTTCTCGCTCCTCATTGATGGGACTCGGAGCCTGCTGGTTCTCATTCCACCCGTCTAATCAGGGACTGAGTTACACCTGCAATGCCAGGTGAATGCAATTAACTCGCTGGTTGGCAAGCCCAGCAGCACTGCGAGCCCCGAGGACTTGGATTGAGAACCACTCTTGTTGAGAAATGCTGACACCAATAACAAATTACATTCTGAAGGACAAATGTGGAGACATTATTTTTCCCTCCAGCAAGTAAATATAAGCAAAAGTAATTTTAGTACACAAAAGTTCAACTAATTAGATGTAAAACTTGATTAAGTCTTTGGAGATCATTCTGAGCATCACGCCCACACACGGTGCAAATGAAGAAACGCTCTGAACTCAGCTGTTAATAAAAACGGTGATGAGGTGTTGTATTGTTTTTTTGAATGCTCTTGTTAAAGGTCAACTTAGTGCAGAGCCGTCGGTGTCTGTGGCCACAAAAGAGTGTTTTTCACTGATTAGAAGGAGCAAAATAGTGATTTCTCTGTTGCAAACAAGCAATCAAAGCCACATTTAACGATGTATTCAGCTGTTATCAATGCTGTATTTTGTATTAGTCGTTATTTAGGGTTCATTATTGTCATCATCTGTTAAAGCTACAGTTGGTAACTTTCATGAAAATAACTGTGTCATAGCTGCTGTAACTATATTCTGAGAGAAGTACACAAGACAGATAATTGTGAAAAAAATATGTCACTCCTTCTTTTCCCACTGCGTCTAATCGCATTCACTAAGCACACCAAGGACAACCAATCAGAGCTGAGGAGTCTCTTATGCAGCTGTCAGTCATGTCACTGCTCGTGAACTGTGGTCAACTTTAAATCTAGGCAGCGCTGATCAAAGATGAATCAAGATTCTATTATTGCATTGTCTAATTCACACCTCAAATGATTTTAGAAACATATTTTAGTGTACTGTTTAGCTGTAAAATGAGAAAGTTAGTGACCTGGCCGCCATGTTGGAAACAGTTGAGTGAAATCCAAGCACCGCCCACAGCTTAATAGTGCACTAAAATGTTTCTGAAAAGATTTGAGGCAAGAAATAGGCAGTAACAGAATTTTGATTCACATTTGATCAGCGCTGCCTTGTTTGACAGTTTGACCGCAGTGATTGACATGACTGACAGCTGCGTTAGAGACTCCTCGAGCACTGATTGGTTGTTTTCATTCACGTGCAGTGAGGTCATTAGAAGTGTAGAGTAGTAAGAGGAGTCTGATTTTTTTCTGTTTGATTTAGTACTTTGTGGATACAGTGACAGTTGTACGAAAGAAGCTATTTTTTCAAAAGTTACAGTATTTAACAAATCAAAAACTTATTAAAAAAAAATCCTCACCAGAAGTTGTGAGAGCCCGCAGCGATGTTTTCATATGTGCTGCCCAACAGATACTCAGATATAAAACACAGAAAATCCTCACATCACAGGAGCTTGAACCATGGAGTAGTATTTAGTATTCCTGCTTGAAAACCGACTGGATCGGTTTTTGAAACATTTGTCAATATATTTTCCCTCAATTGATTGATTTATTTATACTTTCAGCTCTGTGTTGTTGATTTTACACACATTGGATGTAATGAAAGAGCAAATTCCCTGTTGTAAACGAGAAACCAAAACTACTAGTGTAGCCTTGACTTCAGTGTTGCGTTTTGAATAATTCTCTGAGAATCCACCAGTTGACTTGTTGTTTGTTTGTTTCGGCTCTAGTCATTTGTTTCATGAATATTCCCTCTTTCTCGTCTCTCTTTTTCAGCCAACAAGAGTCTGCTCGGCGGAGGTGGAGGTAAGTCACAACCTGTCTGATCCGTTGGTTGTGTGTCTGTTTGTGCTTGCTTGCCAAGATGCTCGTACGCCTCAGTTGTTATTAATAGTGCAGCTTTGTGGTGCAAATAGCCCTCTCTGGACACCAAATAATTTAAAATGTCCTGCTTTTAATCAGATGATGCAGTGTAACGTACCAGCCAGAGAGAGTGTGTGTTTATGTGTTTGTGTGCTGTCTGTATTTTTCTTTGTGTTTGGTAGCAGGTAGTTCTTTGTTGTGGCAGGTGTTCAAGGTGCGTTTGCATGCCGCGCTGTGTGTGCCTGTCTGCCTGTGTGTGTTTGTGTGTGAGTGCAGGTGCAAAGTCGATAGTTCATAATTTATGGGTGTGGAGTGCTGTGGATATAAACAGTCATTTTTCAGTGTATTGTTGACTCAGTGCTTTGCTGCGTGCGCGTGATGTCGGACGTCCACGCTTAATCGATACGTAATAAATCTGTACAGCTAATGCGGCAGTTGCATTCACTAAAACATATACACACACACACGCTCCTTTTCCACCTGTGTGTGTGTGTGTGTGTGTGTGTTAATGCTTGCAAATTTGGGCCTGTGGTTGTTTTCATTTTCTTCATTTAGGCAAACAGCTTTTGCCTTTTAGACCAGCTCACTTGGACTGCCATTTTTAACCTTCTAATTTGTATGTTAGTGCGCGTATGTGTGTGTGTGTGTGTGTGTGTGTGTGTGTGTGTGTGTGTGTGCTTTTGCTTTCCAGTCTCCATGGTGACATATTTAGTGGCACACCTGTATGTGTGCATGTGTATGTGTGTTCATTGCAGTGCATTTGTCTGCTTCTAAGGGTGCATTTGCTTGCCTGAAGTGTTCTGTTGAAGCAGTAACTCCTTACCATCTACACACACACACACACACACACACACACAACACACACACACACACACACACACACACGGGCTCCACCCTTACTGATATACACCAGCTGAGCCTCAAGCCATAAAAATGGACAGCACACTCTTGTGTCTTGTGGCTTTGCGCACACTCACACACACACTACATACAGTCAAGCACTTTGAGATGTACAGCGTCTTTTGATGTTGTCCTGAAGTCTCTGATGGCTCTACAAAGACAGATGGTTTCTAGAGAGGCCATGAATGGGTGTATGCATCAGACCATGTGCATTTGTGCCTATGAAAAGCACGTCTATATTGGTTTACCTGTTTTAATTCTAAAAATGTTCAGCAACGGGCTAGATATCCAACAACCACAATCTGCATCAGTGTTTTTTTTTATCTGCTTCTGTCACTCTGTAACAGCTTCTCTCTTGCTCAGTTGATTTCCCTCATCTCTTTTTTTATTGTATTTATTTCCCTCTCGCCGTCTCTCTTTCCAGCTCCGTCCTTGGGGGTTTGCTAAGGCAGATAGAGGCTACAGTAGGTGTTAATTAGGGAGAGGTAAGCGTAGAGACAAGGGGTAGAATAGAACAAACAAGAGAGACGGGAGGGGAGATGATGGTGAGAGCGAGACGACGAGAGAGACGAGAGCGATGAAGGTCCAATAGATAATCTAAAGATGCGAGAACCAAGACGAGTAGAAAAACACACCAAAAATCATTTGGTATACATCTCCATTCGCTGAGATCACACTCTGCACTGAGTAACCAAGCATTCATTCATTCAGCTTGAGTGAGGAGTTTTTTTCATCAGGGCTGAGGCAACAAAAGGTCTTTACAGTGCTTTACTACTCAGTCTCAAGGGTACCTGGGTAAATGTCATTCACTGAGATCAAACGCACACCTGCCGACATTGTTTTCTTCAATCTGGAGGGGTGCTGAGCTCCAACAGATCAACAACAAACTCAAGGGCAGGAAATTAACATTTTTTTATGTCCACTGGCTGCAGTTGCTCATTTATTCCAGAGCTTATCTGCTATTTCAACATTTCACTGCTGTGATTGATTTTCCAAATAGAAAAGAAATCCTAAATGATGATTGGGGATTCAGTCAGCCAGACACTTACCACAAGCTTTCTATTTATATATGTATGTAAAAATACATACATTTGCTTGAGCCAGGACTACTCACACTTTGAAGTTTGTATTTAGTTCTTCCTTTCAGTCACCATGTGTCAGTAATGTACCTTTGGGATGTGTAATGCATTGAGGTTACAGGTTTGTGGCCTGCACAGCAATGTCATCAGACGTCTGAAAATATGAGCATATATAAAAAAGAGAAGCTGAACGTACTCACCACATTTCAAGCTACAATAAAAGTATTTACATTATTTAAGGTTTTCATTACAGTTTAACATGTTAACCTATCCGTGATCTACCTTGTCTTCATGCTTTCTGTTCAGTCGAGCTGCTGTGGACTAAAAACAGATCAGTATAAAACCTGTCATGTTGAAAGGTTAAGGGACGCCTTGATATAAGACACTGTAATCATTTCTATACTGGCCATGAACAGAGTGAGCCTTTTCTAGAGCGAGCACACTGTAAGAGGCAGAATTCTTAGTTCAAATGAAGTGTGTATCTGATGTTTGTTACTCCTTTTCCCCTAACGATTACGGTACCTCCAGCAGGGTATGTGAGCCGAGGCCAAGTACTGATCTGTTGCCGGTGCTCTCTTTTCCCATCTTTAAAATCTTTATATCTCACTGTGTGGAGCTCAGTGGAATAGTAATTTTATGTCTGGAAACATGAAGCTCTTAAAAACTGATGGAAGAAACATTACATTTTAAAATAACATTGACAAAGAAATAGTATTTAATGTGGACTCACACACTCAATCTGCAAAATAAACACAGCATCAGACTGATACAGTGCATCCCTAGTTACAGAGATTTTCTCTCTATGTTTCAGCATCCATCGCTGACTTTGATTTGGCTGACTCAAACTGCTAAAGCCACACATTAGGTCTGGCTGAACTTGATTTGGAATGTATTTTGGCTTCGAATGACTGCCGTGGATTTTGTCCCTCGTCCTTGTTACTGCTGTCACTAAATGAAGATACAACGGCCAGTATGGACAGGGACATAGCCCCTATTAACCTTCGTCTCCACCCAATTTCTGTTCAATGTATACAGTTTCTGTACACATTGAACAGAAATTGGGAACACCACTGCTGGACTACCACTTGACCCCATATTTGCTGCATGATAATTTGATTTAACACAAAAACTGAGATAAGTTAAGTCTTTAAACTAGGTTATGAATTAAGCCTGAAGACCAGGAAATAATCATCTTTACGATGCCGTTGTTGTGCTTTCATGGTGCATCTTCATGACATATGATAGATAAATCTGTCGATACACAGTTAAGCTGGATCTTTATTAGGTTCCAGCCACAGTTTCAAATACCTCCATGGCTGGATATTCACAGAACCACTTTTTTCCACAATTTGAACCACCTTATACCAAACACAAAAACAGCAGGAGCAACAACCTATCATCGAGCGTAACCAAGTCCAATTCAGAGAGGTCTATTGTGTCCAAGGCAGGTTGCCATATTTAGATAAATCCCTCAGTAATGTCATGAAGATTGTAAGTCAGTTTTTCCAGAGGGATAATTCTCCATAGAGTGTGCCAGTAAACCCGGAACTCCGTTAGCGCTTTTAGCACTTTCGGTTCTCTCGTCTAAAAGTCAATTTGTTTTTTGAATGGGATTTTGGTAAAATGCCTCAAATAAGGTCTGTGGTTAACAAAAGCTTAAGCGAGTTTCAGGTTTTGTTCTACGACATAAAACACATCAGTAAATACCCTACTTGTGAATTTTGAAGCTTTTACGTGTCGTAAAAAAGGCGGTTGTTAACAAGTTGCTCAATACGACTACAAACCCTGTCGGGGACCTTAAACGTCATCACCCCCGAACAGGCGAGAGTGCTGGCAGTCTGCCATTACAGCTTCTTATTTAGCTGAAACAGTCCGATTTCCCCATTATACAATGTTTTTAAAATAAAGCGGCCGAAATCAGTTGAAAGCTTAGTGGCGGTGACGTCAAGAGTCATGTGACCGTGGAGTAGTCATGTAGTCCGTTAAAGCCTAACGTTAGCTTTTTACTTCTGGCGATCGCAGTTAAGCTTCAAATGCGGTATGAAAGGTGTTCATATGTGAAGATTATCTTGCTGAACAAAACCTGTAAGTATCATAAACTTGTGTTAGCCACAGAGCTTATTTTCTGACATAATCCAAAACGCAATGGAAAAATCACATTCACTTTCTCTTCCGGGAACCAGCGCTATGCTAAACTTCCGGGTTTTGACGTCAGCCCTGGCACACTCTATACCTTCCTATACTACTCGTCCAGTTCAGGGACGTCCTTAGAGATCCAAAATTTGAGAATAGTCCTCCTTGCTATGTGCAAGAGAATTCTAATGAGTTTAGCGTTAAGGCTGTTCCTTGCTTCGTCCACTTTGGCTGCTAGAATACAATGAAAAGGTGATAGCTCCGAATCATATTTTAGTATCTTTACACATTTCCAAAACAACATCTGAATTGCATTTAATACATTTAGAAGAGCTCAGACTTTGATTTATTCTTGATACAGAGGGGTTCATTTTTCATCTAGAGCACTGACATGGATGTCTTCATGTTTATCCAATAGGCTGCAGTGTGTTAAAGTTAATGATGCACTCGTCTCATAACCAGTTTTGTCACAAATATCAATTTATGGATACATAGTGAGTCTATATTTGAAACAGTTACAGTATCGATATACTGGTACCAGCTGCACTTCCTCGCTCTCTCCTATTGTTAATGTTTACAACAGTCACTCTGCTGGTCTCTGCTACCACCCAAGAAAAGAAAATCCATCATTGTCATGTTACACCCAGGTGATTTTTATCTGTTAATAAAAATTTAAAAATGTCAATATTCCAATATCGTGACAACACTACCAGTAACATGAAGTGTCCAGTGGGTGAAAAGCTGCAACTTGGTAACCACTGAACAATAGTCTTGCTTTAACTCAAACATATGGTGAGTAAGGGTGGAGCCCGTGTGTGTGTGTGTGTGTGT